TACCTCGTGGAAACATCCTATACATCAGCATTATCCCATCAATCCTGGAAGGATTAAAAGCTTATTTGCCTGAATTTATTTGGGCAAATATTAAGGTGAGCGCATAGGGAGATCACAAGGCACCTGAGGTAAAGGGAATAAGGAACTCACCTGCACATTGCATTTACTTCAAAAGACTTTTTATTTATTCATGTATTATTATGTTTGCACTTGCACATTAATATTAATATATGTTTTTGCACAATATTGATGGATTGATGAGTGGCACCAAGTATTTATACACACTCTAATTTCAATTTATTAGTTATTAATTGATTGAGATCAGCCTAATTTATTAAGGTTCTTTTATAACCATTTTTTGATTCACCAGTCACAGTGATTATATATTATTTTTTACCCACTAAGTATAGTGATTTATGGATTTTGTTGAGGTTTCAATATATATATTCATTGGAAAGAGAGTAGATTGAATTTATATTATATATAGCAATAGGAGCGCGGCACTATTAATATTTTTGTTACTGTATTAACACTAGTAAGTGAGTCTGTGTGAGTGCCAGCGCACCAAGCGCATGACACTAGTAGATAATTATTTATTAATTATCTAATTCACTGAAGACCTCATTTAATAATAGCTCACAAGTATTTATTATTTAGAGCATTGGTAGGTGCTACCAACTGAACACCTAAATAGGTGAGGGAAGCGTTTGGTGCCATATTAGAGATTTCAGATTTGTCTGTTGGATGTAGATTTATGTTAAGCATGTTAGATTTAGAGAAGCGAGTCTTGTATAGGGAGATCGAAACAAAGTTTTCTAGTGTAGCTTGTATAGCAGGTAGTGGCTCAGGAAGTTTAGACAGAGAAAGGACATCATCCCATAAAGTACTATTTTGTATTCTGAACCAACTGAGATGCCTGAGATAAGGGATGCTGCTAATTGTTCCATGACATAGGCAAATATAACAGTGTCAGGGTCCTGTCCATGGCAGAGGTTCTGGAAGACCTGGCAGTTCTGCCAGTACTCTGCATGGCCGCAGAAGGACACATCAGCCTCATCAGACGGCCTTTATAAGGAGGCTCATCACTTCCTCAAGTTGCTGGATGATCTCTAGCTCCCAGTGCCCTTTTCCTGTTTCTTGTGACTTGACCCGTGATCTCCTTTTACCGACTCGGCTTGCTGCTGGACCTGTCTACTCTGCCTTACCCCTGATCTGACTTCGGCCTGGCTTACGGATACTCTCTCTATCTCGCTCCTCTGTGTAGGACCTCGGCTATCCCATCTGACTACGCCTGCCCTGATTCCCACATGGTACCTGACCTTGGCTTTAACCGACTACCCAGTAAGCACCTAAATCCCGGAAGGGCTTGCATACCATGCACAGGCGCCTCCTGTCTGCAGACCTATTTCCGTGCACCAGCTGTGCTTCTGAGTGGACCACCAACCAGCACTCCTACAGGCGACTTGTGCAACTTTGGGCCTGACTCCCGCTGTCCCACTCTCAGGAGAGTCCGGAACTTAGCCGCAAGGGAAGCCCCTCTCTCCATTTTAGATTGTGCCAATTTGTGCTTGTGCTGTTTCGCTAGAAGAGTTCCAGGCTTATTATTGTGGGTATACCAGGTGGTGTGCAGACTCTTCATGTAAAAATAAAAATGTTTATGAAGCAGTGCATGTAGTAGAGCTCTCAGTTTTTGCAAGTCTGCCTCATCTTGGGGATTGGGATTAGCTTTATGAGAATATTTAGCAGCCTAATTTTAGTTAAGAGTTGATAGAGAGTGTTGGTGAAGTTTATTCTCTGGGTGCCATATTTAATTAGGAGACCTCTGAAAAAAACTTAATGGGAATGCCATAGTAATGCATCATCAGCAGAACCAACATTAGATTGAAAGAGGTGAAAGATCTCAGGTTTGATCTTTTTGAGGTAAGAAGGATGAGTAAGGATATGTTCGATCTCCAAAGAGATTGAGTCTCTTGTTCGAGGTAAAATACTGTATAGCTCTAAAGAGATCAGAGTATGGTCTGACCACGTAATAGAACCAATCTGAGCAAAACTGATTGTAGCACATTTTTGTTAACCAGAAAAAGATCAATTGTAGAGTACAACTTTTGGGTACGGGAGAAAAAGGTGTAGTGTCTTTCTGTGTTGTGTCAGAATCTCAATTGGACATAAAGGTCTCCTGAGAGGAGACCAGAAGTAAGGGCAGTAGCCCTTTTTCTATAGATCTTGGAGTCTAGCCTATAATCTAATACCTCATTAAAGTCACTACATATAATTAGCTGATCCCATGGGTAGGGGCAGAGCCTATCCATAAGCAATCTAAAAAAGTTTTTTTTGGCACGTATTGGAAGTGTAGACATTGACTATAACTAGGGGATGGTTATCAAAAATAACTGAATCTATGATGTAGCAAACAAAGGGGTCAGGATGTGCCTATCATCACTCCTTGTTTCTTTCTGTCTGCATACACAGAAAAATGTGTCTTCCAAATCGACAAGCTTGGACTTGGTGCTGGAGCTCCTCCATGTGGCTATCATGAGCATCAACCACATCATTAAATGCTTTAGTATAATTCTCCATCTCTCAATATGGTCAGTATGTTCCTCCACATGATGTATTCTAGAGTGAATGTCTGCACTGGAGGAGCATAGCTCCATGTGGATATCCTTCTATCCCTGTCATCGGTGGTGCTCGGCGGGTGAGGATGTTGTAAAGCTGCTTAGGATCTCCTGGCAGAGCAATCAGGCTGCCATTCCATTGCAGCAAGATAATGCCCTTTCACCTGTCAAGCTTTTATTACTGTTTGTGCCCTCATTGGGGAGATTCGCTCTGTGTATTTTTCTTGTTTAGTTTGATTACTAAGATTTACTAAGTTAAATAAAATCCCTAATATTAGGTTATCACCATAACACTAATAGGGGGGAAATATTCGAATAAGGACACTAGTTATGGTGACAACCATACCCTGACATTGAAGGGATTACCTTCTACTTCCTGTTTTATGTAAGGGACAGGAAGCGGAGGGAAATCTCTCCAATTGTCCAAGGATGGCAAAAAACCTGACAAAAATTAAATAAGGTGGTGGCGGAGAGCAGTGTTGGGACTAGGGGTGTGTGGGAGGGGTGGCGGTGGAGGCAATGACAAGCAGCGATCTCCTGTATGGCTTTCAGTAAAGCAGCTGGAACCCGCGGGAGGGAGAGGTGGAGTAGCAGCTTCCAGCCGCTTCATTGAAAGTCATACAGGAGATCGCTGCTTGACACCGCCCCCACCGCTGCAAACAACATACCTGACAGCTCAGTCTTCTTTCTGCTCCCTCCCTCCCATCCCACCGTTGTTGTGTTCTTCTCAATGCCCAGCCCCTCCATCCTCTGCACCAATAGGAGAAAAGGGGAGAGAGGCTGAATCTGCTCTGCCTCCCCCTGTGCCTGCCCACACTCAAGTCCTTGCAGCTTCAGAGGATGTGTGCGTGGGAAACTGAACACAGCAGCTAACAGCCTCATGCATCTGAATGAGTCACGTGAGTCCAACCTACCTTCCACCTACCCCTCCCTTTTTTCCTTCCACCCTTCCCTTCTTTCCTTCCACCCCTCCCTCCCTTCCTTTCACCCACCCCTCCCTTCTTTCCTTCCTCCCACCCCTCCCTCCCTTCCACCCCTCTCTTTCCTCCTTCCACCCACCCCACCCCTCCCTCCCCCTTCCTTCATTCCCACCCACCCCTCCCTTCCTTCCAATCCTCCTTTCCTTCCTTCCACGCCTCCCTTCCTTCCTACTTTCCTTCCTTCCTTCCACCCACCCCTTCCTTCCATCCACCCCTTCCTTCCTTCCAGCCACCCTTCCCTTCCAGCCACCCTTCCCTTCCTTCCACCCACCCCTTCCTTCCATCCTTCCCTCCCTTCCTTCCTTCCTTCCTTGCACCCACCCCTCCCTTCCTTCCTTCCTTGCATTTAAACCCCTCCCTTCATTCCTTCCTTGCATTTAACCCCTCCCTTCCTTCCTTCCTTGCACCCACCCCTTCCTTCCTGCCTTCCTCCCCTGCCTTCCTTCCATCCACTCCTTTCTTCCTTGCTATGGAAATTGTTCATTTCTCATTTTTGTATAGACATACAGTGACTACACTCAGTGTGACGGGAGCGACTTTTGGGGGTGGGGGGACCTCTGTATCATCTCCCCAAATCATTATGTTTAACCCACCCTGTGCCTGTTAAGGGTTACAGGGTGTGTATGTGAATGTCTGAGTCCTGTGTATAGTGTGTGTCCCTTTGTCTAGGCCACATGGCTGTCCATTGTCTACTACCATGTGCTACCCCCATTGTGCTGTGTCTTCCTGTCCAGAGAACTATTATGGGATGTACTGTTTGTATTGGTGTGGGGGTTGGTCAATGTCCTTTGCCACATGGTTGCATCTCATTGTTCTGTGTCTGATTGGATGGGGAGGGGTGATGAGGTGTTTCCTTCCTATACTGTAGCCCTTCCCACTGAGAGGGTGGGCTGATGATGTATTTCCTGTTCCTGGTTGTGTTTCCCCGCCCTCTGTATATATTCTGTGTTTTGTGTAAAATAAAGAGTTGTTGGCTTCCTGTTTTAGTAAGAGCTGGGTGTTGTCTATTTTCCTGAGGGATTCCAAGGGTGTGGTCCGTGGATGGTGTTCGGACAGGGGAAGTTGTGCTATAACGGAAAAACTCAGTGCGGTCTGGGTTCCGGTTCTGTTACACTCAGTCATAGCACAAACATAAGGTTCGGACCCCTGTCAAAATTTTAGTGACCGGACCTTCTTGTATTTTAGGTCAATACCCCTGCCTTAAGAGTTCCCTTCACTGGAACTAAGGGGCCAATCCCAACCCCTGAAAAACAACCCCACACTATAATCCCCCTCCATTAAATTTTATACATGACACAATGTCAAGCATGTTATAAAACAGGCAGGCCTGTTTTCCTGGTAACCGCCAAACCCAGACACATCCATCAAATTGCTAGACAGAGAAGCATGATTCATCACTCCTGCTCTAGAGTCCAGTGGCGGGGTGCTTTACATCACTGCATCTGATGCTTTGCATTGCACTTGGTGATGTAAAGCTTCGATGCAGATGCTCGGCCATGGAAACCCATTCCATGAAGCTCTCTATGCACTGTTGTGCTAATCTGAAGGCCACACAAAATTTGGAGGTCTTTAGCTATTAACTCTGCAGACAGTTGGGGAATTCTGCGCACTGTGCGCTTCAGTATGCGCTGATACTGCTCTGTCATTTTATGTGGCCTACCTCTTCGTGGCTGAGTTGCTGTTGTTCCCAGTTGCTTCCACTTTGTCATAATACCACCAACAGTTGACCATAGAATATTTAGTAGCAAGGAAATGTCACAGATGGACTTATTGCACATGTGGCAACCTGTCATGGTACCACGCTTAAATTCACTGAGCTCCTGAGAGCAGCCCATTCTTTCACAAATGTTTGTAGAAGCAGTCTGCATGCCTAGGTGCCTAATTTTATACACCGTACCCCTTGACAATTTTCACATTTTGTCATGTTACAACCAAAAACATAAATGTATTTTATTGGGATTTTATGTGATAGACCAACACAAAGTGGCACATAAATTTGAAGTGAAAGAAAGATGATAAATGGTTTTCAAATTTTTTTTACAAATATCTGAAAAGTGTGGTGTGCATTTGTATTTCGCCCCCTTTACTCTGATACCCCTAACAAATCTAGTGGAACCAATTGCCTTCAGAAGTTACCTAATTAGTAAAAAGAGTCCGCCTGTGTGTAATTAAATCTCCGTATAAATACAGCTGTTCTGTGAAGCCCTCAGAGGTTTGTTATAAAACATTAGTGAACAAACTGCATCATGAAGGCCAAGGAACACACCAAAAAGGTCAGAGATAAAGTTCTGTAGAAGTTTAAAGCAGGATTAGGTTAGAAAAAAAATATCTCAAGCTTTGAACATCTCACGGAGCACTGTTCAAACCATCATCTGATAATGGAAAGAGTATGGCACAACTCCAAACCTACCAAGACATGGCCGTCCACCTGAACTGACAGGCTGGGCAAGGAGAGCATTAATCAGAGAAGCAGCCAAGAGGCCCATGGTAACTCTGGAGTAGCTGCAGAGATCCCCAGCTCACGTGGGAGAATCTGTCCATAGGACAGCTATTAGTCGTGCACTCCACAAATCTGGCCTTTATGGAAGAGTGGCAAGAAGAAAGCCATTGTTGAAAGAAAGCCATAAGAAGTCCCATTTGCAGTTTGCGAGAAGTCATGTGGGGGAAACAGCAAACATGTGGAAGAAGGTGCTCTGGTCCGATGAGACCAAAATTTAACTTTTTGGCCTAAAAGCAAAAAGCTATGGGTGGCAAAAAAAAACTAACACTGCACATCACCCTAAACACACCATCATGTTGGGATGCTTTTCTTCAGCAGGGACAGGGAAGCTGGTCAGAGTTGATGGGAAGATGGATGGAGCCAAATACAGCGCAACCTTAGAAGAAAACCTGTTGGAGTCTGCAAAAGACTTGAGACTGGGGAGAGGTTCACCTTCCAGCAGGACAATGACCCTAAACATACAGCCAAGATACAATGGAATGGTTTAAATCAAAGCATATTCATGTGTTAGAATGGCCCAGTCAAAGTCCAAACCTAAATCCAATTGAGAATCTGTGTCAAGACTTGAAAATTGCTGTTCACAGACACTCTCTATCCAATCTGACGGAGCTTGTGCTATTTTGCAAAGAAGAATAGGCAAAAATTTCACTTTGTAGATGTGCAAAGGCGGTAGAGGCATGCCCAAAAAGACTTGCAGCTCTAATTGCAGTGAAAGGTGGTTCTACAAAGTATTGACTCAGGAGGACTGAATACAAATGCATGCCACACTTTTCAGATATTTATTTGTAAAAACAATTTTGAAAACCATTTAGCATTTTCCTTATACTTCACAATTATCTCCACTTTATGTTGGTCTACCACATTAAATCCCAATAAAATACATTTACGTTTTTGCTTGTAACATGACAAAATGTGGAAAATATCAAGGAATATGAATACTTTTTTAAGGCACTGTACATCAGGCTACGTCCTAAGGGTTTAAAGTGACCCTGTGCTGATCAGACAGATCAAAGAACAGGTTTACTTAACTCACCCTTCCTCCAACAATACTTTCCTTCACTTTTCTAGGCAAAGCACAGATTCACGATAAAGCTTAGGGTGAGTTAGAGATGTTAAAGTCATGTTATTAGGCGTCAGATAAGGTTTGTGCTATGGGTTAATGTATTGCTTACTGTGTCCACTGGCTAGATTTCCTGTCATTTCTTGTCCCAGCCATACTCTGATACACAGAATGTTGCAGTAAGGGATAATGTCTAATAAAATAAAAATCTGAGTTTTGTCTTTTGGAAATTGGTTTGGACCAGAACTGTTATTCACATATTTTTCAGGAGAAAAAAAACAAAATATTGCGCACATTAGGTCAGTGACAAATCATATGCTCAATCAATCAATATGATCTATGATGGGTGCAAACATGTCTAGTTATGTATAGAGTATATTCTTTCCCAAAAAATGTGTGTGCAGTGTGTATTTTTCTTCTAGTACTATGTTCTATAAGCAGTATATCTATTTTTAGGAAGCGAAGTTTGGAAATTCTCCGTCTCATTGATTTGGATTTTTCATCCACTTTCTCTTTGTTGGATCTGGCCCTGTTAAAGAATATGAGATGTACATTCGCAACTTTGGAAAGAGCAACACAAAGCAGGTGTGTACCTTAAAATGGCATGAGAAAATGAATAGGTGTATTGGGCTAGAACATTTATGGCATCCTAAATATAAGGCTTTGCACTTCGGAAACCATGATTGTGCTATTTACCAGCACAGCTTCAAGAGCTTCAGCACTTTTTTTTTTTCCATAATATTTGAGAAAAAAAACATCTGGTACATAAAGCAGCATATGACAAAGGAACTGCAGTATGGTACCAATATGTATTAACAGTCAGAGGTTACAAAGTATCAACCAGAAACTGAATAAAAGGGGCGTGAGCCCAACAATGGAAAACAAGAACAAGATCTCAACAGAATAAATTAGAGCATTACTCAGGAGGCATTATGTCATCACAATGTTTGCACCCTCTTATAAAAATGGGCTGGGATCTGTGTGTGGCGCATGGGTGCAAAGCCTTGGGACAGTCAGTTGGTGGGTCTAAGGAGGGAAATGGGGTGAAGGGGGGAGGGGAAACGGGGGTAAGGGATCCAGAGAAGGAGATAGCATAGTTGGTAAAAGGAGGACCTCAGGGTGGAGGTAAAAATATAAAGAAATATGAGCAGGATCCGTCTTAATCCTTAAGACATGTATATTCAAGGATTTGGCAAGCAGAATAGCAAGCCCTCTGGAATAGGTGGAGTACTCTGGATGATAAACCTGAGCAATAGAAAAATGCCGCAGAGCAATGAACCTGGAGCCCCGCAAATGTGTCTCTTGAAACAGTTAAAGATAAAGTCATGCAGCAATCTTCTCCAGAGCGCAGCATTGCAGCACACACCTCTCCAGAAAATCCCCAGGCAGGTCTGTGTTGTCACAGGGCCCCAAAAAAACCAGAGCACCCACAGCGTCAAACTGGAAAAGATGCATCAAGTTCCCTGTAGGATAAGAGACATCCATAGAAGAGGTAAATCCTCCATGCGGCCATCCGCCACATTCGGGCGCCCCCTGGCATCCAGCCAATGGGAGGCTTCCACTGAGCTACTGAAAAAATGTACTGTACCCCTATCCACCACTTTCAGCTTAGCAGAATATAGCATACTGTATATCAACTGACACTCTCGCAATCTTTTTTTACATGAACAAAACTCGCTCACTGCTTCCGCGTAGCTGCGGAGAAATCAGGATATATAGATATACGACTGCCATTGTAGAGAAGTTCTCCATGTGCTCTAGCCACTTTCAAAATATTCTCCCGGTCCCGAAAGTGTAGTATATGTGTTATCATAGGCCTAAGAGGAGCTCCTGGACGTGGAGCCCACATGGGAATCCTATGCACCTGTTCTATGGCAAATAGGCGGGAGAAAGTACAAGCTTCCATATGTTCCTTAAGCCAACTATCCAGAAAATCCTCAGGCTGTTTTCCTTCAGCCCCCTCCGGGAAGCCCACCTATCTGATAGTATTGCTTCTCAGCCTGTCCTCTATATCTCCCAACTTGCCAGTATATGAACTGTCAGCTCCTTGGTAGCATTTTGCACAGATCCCTCTAAAGGATGAATTATGTCTTCCAAATCACTGATCCATTGTTCGGCCTCAGCAGCTTTTTCCTTTACTGTTTGCATGTCTTGCTTCAGAAACGACAGATCAGCTTTAAGCCCACCAATGTGATCTGTGAGAGTTGTCTGACAGAGGTGTATGGCTGACATGATCTGTTTCAGCGATGGCTCCTGCTGCTCCCTCTCTCCTCTGTCCCCTCCACCTTCCTCAGATCCTGGCAGACTGACCACAGACTGTCCCTTCTTAGAGGAGTGATCCATCTTAGACAAGGAGCTTCCCTGCGACACATTGCTCACAGCCGTGGAGGATGTTTGTGGCAGCTCTTCCATCTCCTCCTCTCCTCCACGTGTGTCCCAACAGCAGCCACCATCTTGAGAGCCCCAGGCAAATCTAGCAAGGTGCTCTCCTGAGGATTTCCCTCCAGCCTGCCCGATTTTCACCATTGTAAGGTGCTCACCCGCCTCAGCCTCCCTTCCAGTTTCCGTGGGGTACAGAATTGTGGCCCTCTGCTTGTCAGGATTGCTGCAGGATGATGTGTCCCAGCCGGAGCTCCGAACGCCCGCTGCTCACTCGCCGGAAGCCAGCTTCGCCCCTAACTGTGATTATTTTTAGCAGGGGTCCCCTGCTAAATTAAAGCCAAATAATTTCAAGGTTATCGCCAGCGTAACAAGTTTGAGAAGAGCTGGGTTAGTATATATTACTACATATAGAGTGTACTATACCCTAAAAGGCTGCAACAAATAGATGCTGCACATGAGTGAGTTTTCTGACAAATATGCATCATAGTGATCTTATCTGTATGTTATGGTGATGTCCAAACCTGTATCATTATTAGGGTAGAGTGACTGAGACACCAGTGAGGATATTTTTTAATTGAAAATTCCTCTGAATCCATTGTTATGTATTTTAGATGTCAAACCACTCTTGCAGTGGATGAAAGTTATCTAACCACATGCAGGCAGTCCCCATGTTACGAACAAGATCGGTTCTGTAGATTTGTTCTTAAGTTGAATTTGTATGTAAGTTGTAACAGGTAAATTTTTTAAGTGTAACTCCTGCCAAAAAAATTATTTTACGTTTTGGATAGTATAGGTAAGGGTTAACTGGCCATGCAGTGATGTGGGATTGCTGACAGGTCTGCCAGACAGTAGGTGTGCAGAAAGATTACCTCCTGGTGGTTTCTGCGACCAGCATGACATCATACTGCCTCCTTTATTAAGTATGG